TTATCGGACGCGAAGATACACAAGGTTAACCCTTTCACCGTTGAATTAACTTCGCTTGAGGAAATTATTAAAATATTTGGTAGTCCTACGTGTTTCGGGCCGCTGATTACGAATCTAAAGTCAGATTTGCGAAATTCAAAATGGCGGGCTCAATATGGCGATCATGATGTACAAAATTAATGAAAATTCCAATTATTATTAAATAATGACCAGATCGTAATAAAAACGTAATATGATTCTAGACGATGGAACTCGATCGAGCTGGAAAAAATTTGTGGGAAATAATATTATGGGAAAATGTCCAATACTGCATATTTATGCTTACTAGAAATTGAACATTCATTTTTGAGTAAAATAATATTGATAGTATAGATAAGAGATGAAGATACAGAATGAAAAAACTAGGAAAATAGAGAGAAAAAAGTACAAAAAATCAAATTTCGGCCGTTTTTGTAGAAATATTTGTTTGTAAAAAAATATCCAACTTACAAAAAGATACTGAAAAAAATATATGTTTTCGTACAATATCAGAAAAATATTTGGTGAAAATTTCAGACCTCTACACTCAATACTCTCCGAGGAATCGATTTTTCCCTAAAAAAAAGCATTTTTTTCAACTTTGATTTGTTATAAATAATCACAAATGAATAATTGGATGTAAAAACCTATTGGAGTATGTTGAACAACTATTCAGTTATCTGGAAAACTCAAGTCCCCGATTAGTTCTTCAAAATTATATAATTTACAACGCAAAATTGAATCAAGAAAAGGTGGGAAGTATACTTCCCGCTAACAGTGAAAGGGTTAGAAGGGAAAGGAGGACAGTAATTGATAAAATTAATTAAAATAAATCACCGTACACGTCGAGACACACTTGATGAAATCCGCGCAAAGTGGCAGAGAGAGAGAGAGTACTGGACGTTCTACCCCGTTCGTCTTGCAAGGGAAGAGAAGAGAAGAAACTTCCCTCGGTCTTCGAGATTCTTCCTCGGCTGGCTTTGGAAGCGCGATATTTTGCGCGATACTTCTTCTATTAAGAGTGCCGATCCGGAGCGTTTAGCGCGAGTTTCGCCGATGTGACTCAAGTAATTCACGACTGGCAACCCCGAGAACGCCGCTCTCGCTCTCAGAGCCCTCGCTCGTATCGGCTCGTGTTGATCAAAAACACAAACGCGGTGGTTAAACTCAAAAGCACGGAGCAAAGAGCTACCGGCTATTTGTAACTTCGGCGCTCGCGTATTTGGCGCTAAATATACGGAGCCTGGCTGTTTATCACGTTCCTGCTGTTTTGAGAAAAAATCACCTCGAGCGCAACCTGCGCGCCAAGAGCGATCGTCAGTTTAGTACCGACCAGCGATTGTTACCATATTATTACCGATGGCTAACGTCCTAACATCGCTTGATCCTTTAACGCCTACTGGTAACTATAGTTACCAGAAATGCATTTATGAATCCATAACTTGGTGAGAAAGGGAGATATTTTCGTTCTTTTTGCACCTGCACTGTAAAGGTGAATCCTTTTTCTAAAAAGCGGTATGTAGATTGTATGTAGATTCGGTTTAGTCTGTTTTTAGCTCAGTTTTAATGATAACATGGGGCGGCCAGTTCACTTTGACAACAAGAAACTGAAGATGAAAACAGTAAAAGCTCGAGAGGGAAGCAAAGCAGGATAATAATAATTTGCAAAACCTATAAAATTTCTCCCCTCTGCATCTCTCGATGCTTTATGCAATTCCATTCCGAGTAAATAAAGATCAAGTTCTGAATATGAGTTTTATGTTTCGAGGAATTTTTCCAACCATTAGATACGATATAAAATTATTAAAACTAAGAAATGATTGACCGATCAGGCATATTTTTCGCTTCTGGCAGTAGTTTCTGCTTGGCGAGGTAGTTTTCCGTAGATATAAAATTCTGATATACTTTTTGATTATCACTACTTACAGTCTCGGTTCAAAAAAACTCAAATTTTATTCTTAAAACACTTGTAAAAAAAAGTCGGGCGTTAAAGGGTTAAAACGAGGGAAAACTCGTTCCAAGAGCTAGCGCAAATATCGCTCGCTCTGAGCCGCCTCAGAATGGAACGCTTCGCTCATTCTGAAGGTAAATCTCTCGAGTCCGGCTGACATTTTTTTTCTCCAGCTCTTCGAGACTCCCGAGACTGCCCAAGGACCCACTTCCGGCCCGGCAAGGCTTCCGAGCGCGAGCACACGGAGAAAAAATTTCGACTCAACGACGAAGCATGCTGTCTCGCGTGCGAGGTACACTCATACCAGGATCCAAACTTGTATAATCAGCAATTAACGAATAACGCTCGCTCGGACTTCTTTGGAACTTTAAATCACACGTAAGACACTTTCCCATATTACTTTCAAGCGCTTTCGTCAGTAGCACGAGAGAATTCTAGCCGTACAAGCTGCTATTTTCTCAGCGCGCGACTTTTACGTAATATCTTCCGGGCGGAAAAAGTCTCTCCCTGTGCACACGTCATTCCGTTACCGCATTTACGGTAACCAGCAGGAATATTCGGTATCGCGTGACACTCGCTCATCTCCGTCGCGTCCTTCCGCGATTCGCCTTCCGCGTTTAACGCTCAATAGCAACCGATTGCGATTCCGGTTGCGGCTCAGGCGCTACCGCTAAATAGCGTAGCGTAGCGTATGCGACCGCTATCCGAAGCGAGCGCGTACGCAGCTCACGCGCAGCTCGGCGCAGCAACATTCCGTGCGCGGCCAGCGCGGCGGGGCGGTCGTGAATTAATTAATCGTCGCCGAATAGGCGCTAGCGAATAAACTGTACCGCAATAATAATGGCGTTGCCGGCGATTAAATGGCCGACCCAGTGCGCCGGCAGAGATATGCAGAGAAAGTCGGAAGGAGTCCGACGCGACGTGTACGCCTATGTCCGGTCATTGCACCGCGCGCAATTCCTTCTCCTTTTTGACCTCGCGCGCACATGATGATGACGATGATGATGACCGCTGCGCAAATGTCAGCGCGGAATTTCGTTCCGGAAATCGCTTCTCGCCCCGATCGTTTGTTCGTGCCATTTCGGCGGCGGCGAGGCCGGAAGGCGCATCGCCGCCGCCGCCGCCGCCGCTGTCAACGTCAACATCAACGTCATCGTCGTGCTCGATGTTCCACGTGTAACAATAAACAACGAGGTCGCGAGAGAGCAGAGGGGCCGCGACGCCGAAGGTCACGTGTCGTCTTCGTTGTCATGCGAGTTGCACACGTCCGAGAGATCGCGCTTTCTCCTGAGATCGCGAATTCCTCGGCAAGCTCGGAGTAGGTTTCCCGCGCCCGGCAAGAATTCGCCTCGAGTGAACAAGCTGCGAACGCCATGGCGCAATTTGCGAGGTTAAGAGACCTCGCCGTTAAGTCCAGACTGAGACGCGCGTCTTTGCGGACGCATCTCGAACGGAACTCTGCGGAGCTCGCTAAAAGCTAAGCGCTTTCACCGAATCGAAAGTTTCGCAATTAGTACAAGTCGAAAAAAAATCTTGTCTCTCCCTCTCTCTCTCTCTCTCTCTATCGAGAACTGATATGTTTTGATCCGCCTGTTAATTGGAGGAGCGACCGAGATATTTCCCGATCGGTCCCTCAGCCGAGCGTCTCTCGATTAAATTGTCGAATTTGATTATAATATTAATTCGGGAGAATCCATCGCGCGGTTCTGGCTCGGATATTCGCGAGAAACACACGCGATAATGATAATAATAATAATAATAGAAACAGACCGAGGAGCGCGCGAGGAAGCCGCGGCTGCGATTCTCGGCGATTTTGCGTCTCGCTCCTCGGAAATAAATCTCCCGGCCGAAGGAAGCTCGCGTGCGCGCAGAGCGAAAGGGTGATTTAATGGCGGGGGGCGGCGAGAAGGGTGAGAAAGAGAGAGAGAGAGAGAGAGAGAGAGAGAGAGAGAGAGAGAGAGAGAGAGAGAGAGAGCCGTATGCGATGAGCGCTCGACCGATACGGAATCGACGGTGACCTTGCCTGCTGATGCACCGGCGCGGCGGCTGCAAGAAGTATCGCGCACTTCCGCCTGGTCATTCACGCGCCAAGGCTGGACACATGAGAGAGAGAGAGAGAGAGAGAGAGAGAGAGAGAGTGCGCGTGTGCTCGCCGCGGCGTTTATCTATCGCTCTTAATTGCCGCTTATCTAGGGACTTAATTAACGATGACGAATATGCCGTCCCGAATTTTTCTATCGGCCGCGGATAACGATCGCAGCACCGGTGAGGCGCTCTCGTCGCGCGGCACGCGACGACGCATCCCGATCGTTACCCCCGCAGGAGCGCGCGATTTGCATAAAGGCGCTTATAAATAAATACATTTTTGCGGGAAATGGCGCGGCGATCCGGTTCCCCGATCGCCTACGGATCTACCTTGTGCGATAATCCCCGAGCGGTTTATAGTTATCGATTAATTGTGCAGCACTGTTGCGATTAATGAAGAAACGCTCGCGGCCGCGCGGGCTTATTAATTTACGTCATCGGCGTGATAAATCGTATAATTTATAGTTTCGCGTAATTGCGCCGGAGTGTGATAATTATCGCGGGTGCGTGTGCGTGCGGCCGCAGTTCAAATAATCGTTCATCGCGCCCGCCGCGCTGGCCGATGTGAGACTGAGCGCCGGTCTGAGGACTCATTACTTCAAATAGACATATTTCTTCCGGCCCGTCCTAGCTAGGTCTAAATCTATTTGTCAAGATAACGAAGCCCAGAGCGGCGTTATCTCGGGACCTTCGCTGCATTGTTAGCGGTCGAAGTCTTCTCGCAGATATAGATGAGAACTTTCGTAATCACAAACTGACATTCTGCCGCTTCTCTCCTTCTCGTGTGAACCCCTCTTTTTTTCTACGCACATGTATGCACATGCACGCGCGTGCATCAAAGCATCCGCTGATCATTCCGAAGCAAGACACGACTAACGCTCCCCAATCCGCGACTTCCCTTCGGAAGTCTCTCAGCAATGAACAACAATTGAATAAAATCACTCACCCTTGGCCCATCCGGTCAGCACGTTCCCCAGATACGCGACCTTGTAGCAAGGATCGTACTCGGTGATGGACGCGTTGCCTCTGTGCCTCCTCCAGAGCCGGCCCAGACTCCTCTTCAAGGACTTGAGCGTCTTCTGGCCAAACTCCTTGCTGACGCCGGTGGCCGGTTGACCGGCATCGTCGGTCTCGTCAATGGGGTCGGCGACGACGTCGCCCATCGTCTTCATCGTCGCGTTTCCGTCAGCCGCGCAGGACTCCTCGTTGATCGTTCGCATTCGCACTCACTCGTCGCTTGAAAATTCGTCCTTTTCGGCCGGGTCGACCGCTACATTGTGCCGCCAGCACCTGCTGTCGTCGTCGTCGTCGTCGTCTGGTCGCTCGCGAGAACGAGACCTCGGCAAAGAGGTCGAGCTCGACTCCGTCGGGGTTTCTCCTGTTCTTTCTTTGGCCAAGTGGAAGAGAGCTCTTTCGAGGTCACGACCGGTGTCGGCGGCGATCGGGAGAGGTTGCGAAAGCCGAATAAATCGTCGACGGTAGTAGACGGTCGGCGGCCGACTGTTCGGCAGCGGGAGCAATAGCGGCAGCAGTAGCAGTCATTCGCCGTCTTCAAGGCCGTTTCTTCTCTATCGCGCTGCTCTACGCGCTACGAAAAGGTCGCAGCTTCGTCCGCTCTCTATCGCGAGACCTCGCGCGTCATTTCTCTCTTCCTTCCGGGAGGTGCCGCTGTGCGCTTTCGCTCTCCGCTCGCGAGGTCCGCAGTGCGCTTCTGAAACAACAAGCCGGTGGGTTAAATACGGTCTAACGAGATAGGCCAGGAGCGGCGATTTGCGAGATAAGAATAATCGAGTCGATATCGCGCCGGCATATTTTTTTGGACTTCCCGTCGCTGCGGTATATTTTGGGACGCTGAGCGCGATGCGATATCGATCTCGAAAGTATCTCGTTGCACGGCGGATAATTTTCGCGGCATGGCGGGCATGGATTCGCCTCGTCGTTGCTGCTGCGCTGCTCCGCCGCGCGGATATGAATCTTTTATGCAGACTCGCGGCGGTACGCGAGAGCGATTTCTTTCCGCGATTGGCTTTTTTTCTTCGTCTTCGTCCACGTGACCGGTCTGCGAGTTAAATAAGCTGAGAGCGTGCGAGCCCTCGATACATTGTTCTGGTGTAGCGGTACACCGGCGGAGCCTTCAGCCCGGCAAAAAAGGGACAAAAGAAATTTAATGTCCGTAAAAAAAAAAGGGATTAGTATGCGATGTCGAGTCGAGAGTTAAAAGCTCGGAGAGCAGAGCCGAGGTAAATCCGGAGATCAACTCATTTTACAAGCGAGTTATAAAAAACACGCAAAAATAAAATCTTAACGACGGCTTCTAAGGACTTTTCCTTTTATCTTTATGACCAACCGATTTATATCATTGAGACGCCGTGTCATCCTTCAACTTTTGCGTAGCAATGTTACAAAAGCCTCTCGAAAGCGAGGTCGAACATGTATGTAATAACAAATACAAATGCAAATAGATCGCGACATTTGTGACGCCTTGCGAAGATAACATCATTTCAGATCGACGCAGTATCGACGGTATCGCGTCACAATCAATCAGAGGAATCAATCATTTCTTAAAATATTCGCGAGATAACATATCGTCTCACTGCACATATCGGCCTGCCTGTTGCTCTTGCGAGGGGCAAGCCGTTTTTCGTGAAGTTCCGATAAAAACTTGTTTTAATTAAACCAGCAAAAACTCGTTTCAATTATAATCGATCGCCGGCAATTAGGTGTCCTCGATCGCTATTAATTTAGTTGTGTTCCTGCCACTTTTCCGGCCTGCCGTCTGACACACACACACACACACACACACACACACACACACACACAGGTGCGCGTGATCGATGTATCAAACGACCGCAGTCGCCGCGCGTGTCGAATGTGCGGGTTGTCGCGAGAGTTCACGCGGTGAACTCGCGTGAGAGGTCACCGCGACGACGACGCGCGGGTAGGGATGTCGATTTTTTTTCAAACAGATCGATTTAAAGATCGATTTGAATCACGGAGAAGAAAACCGATCCTTAAAGAATCGGTTTGTAAAGAATCGATTTGAATCGGTATGCATGTAGAGTGAACCAAATTTCTACACTCTAAAGTAGACCTCGTGTAATTCATATAAAGTTTAATATGAATTAAAGAAATTAAACAGATGGTACTCTTTTGGTTGTGTGTGTGTGTGTGTGTGTGTGTGTGTGTGTGGCCAGAATAAGATAGAGAAAGATCTTTAAATCTTTACGCTAAGGATCTGATTAAACGTCAATCAAGGGTTTTTAAATATTGTTAAATAAGAGATCACGTTTACTGTTATATGCATATGTTATATGCATATAACAAAAAGAGTGCAGAAACACAGAGTCTACGGTTTGGTGAATTTTCAGCGGGCAAGGCTCCGTGCCGTGGCGAGCTCGCTTCAAGTACGTGGCATCACACGTGCGAGCGCGCGCTCGTCCGGCCAGTTTATCTCGCCGGAAATTATGGTTTTCACCGGAAGCCTTGCGGCCAGGCGGCCGCGATGGGGATTGCCCGATCTTCGCCGAAATCTGCCTGTCGAGCGCGGATACTCGTTCGCGTGAGCGCGGCCCGTTTATCCGTGAGAAGCAGCGGGAAAATTATGAAACATGTCACCGCGACGTGGAGCGATCGCAGGTAGCGCGACAAATTAAGAGGGGTTTCTCATTCGCGGGCTCAAAAAGTGATCAATTTTTGTGAATTTTTCTTTAGAAAACTATTATATATAGAGAGATGTGGGGTTTGCATATATTTATACAACTGTTGTACTGCAGAAATATAGTTTTTATAAAAAAAAAAAATATACGTATTTATTATAGAAAATGGCGCCCGAAATCAGATCCATCAAAAAAACACACTCTTGCTATGGGAGTGTGACGCAGCTCCTAAATATTATCTGAAATTAAAAGAACAACCAATTTTCATTATCTAGATGAGTGTCGCTAAGAAATAGACTAGAACGAAGTTAATTGATTGAAATTTATAAAAATGGCGTTAATTCCGAAAAGCAATTCGTTTTTTCGGAATAAATTTCCGTATACTTTTACTTATAAACAATCGAATTTTCGTTATAAAAGCTTTATTCTAATCTAGTCCTAGCGCAAAAGTATTAGGAACGAGTGAAACAAAAAAAAAACGTGGCTATCTTTATTAGTCTTTTAGTTATCAGTTCCGTAAGGTCGAAAAACATAGTTTCGAAAAAAACGCGTCTGAAAGTTTAGATATACTTAAACAACGGCCGTGCGCGCTAATGTATTTCAGCTCGTAACTCCGTTAAAATCATGAATTTCAGAAAATCCTTTTACAGGGGTATTCTACACACAAGTAGGAATACAAATAAAAAATAAAAAAAAATCGATTTTTTGAGCCCGCGAATGAGAACCCCCCCCCTTTCTCGTAGTTGGCGTGCAACGGCGATTTCTTCCTGCTTGTTTGCTTCTCCACCGCGTCGAGGAATGTTTTATGTGCGATATCTGTGAGATATCAATCGCATAATATAAACGCGATCGTATTCAATTCCGAGAAAGTGTTATTTTGATACGCGCGAATGTATAATTGATTGAAATTTTTCTTACATGTTTTATGTTACGCGTTCTTCAGTCACGTCATTTAATTCACATTCAGCGATCAGTTAGTACACTAAACGTACTAAATGACGCGGTTCAGGACGGCAAAAAGCGCGCAAAGAAAACCAATCGCACGCTTATGCGTCTCGAAATAACACTCGGATTTGCAAATGATTGTGCATCGTATTCGCGTTCGAATCCATTAAAATACGTAACAACTTACGTCAATTCAGTTGTTACGTCGTTCAGTTGTTTGTACGGCGGCAATAAGGAGATGGATCGATTAAAAATTCAGTTTCGCGCATCGTCGGATAGAGCGTATAGCGCGACGTTGCGAGAGAAGGCGGGTGAAGAGAAAAACACACGCTTTTCCGAACTCCGCACGAGAGATACCTTCGCTTCTTCCGATGCGTGTCTTCTAGTTTTAAAACCGCCCACCGTCGTCCGCTAAATATAGCGCATTATCGTATCGCGGCATACGCTGTTTGTGAACATTTCTCATAATTGAAGCATGTGTGCGTCCAGCGTAGATAATCGTTATTGTATAATCCGCGTAACGCTGACAGGTGGACTTTTGTAGCTGCGTATAGAACGCAACTCGCCGCACTTCTTGCATATATGTGATACAGCGGATAAAAGTTACGCCGGCGTTTCTTTTCGTAACCTGCCTGCGACTGCCAACTGGTGACCCACCTGCGGCCTGTCGGATGTGAACTGCGACGCGCTCTCGAAAGGACAAAAAACGACCGAAGAGGCGCTTTTTCTCCTCAGAGAGAAAAAGCAAATGGAGAGTCGTTTCTTTGCGTGGGGGGAGAAAAAAAAAAAAAAAACGCCTGTCCTCTTTGGGAAATAAATTGTTCTTTCGCGAGAAGAGCAACCGCGCGCGCTTCGCGGCTCTTGCCGAAGTTCCACGCGACTTTGATCCTCGATTCGCCGAGTATACCGGCGCACAGACCGCTGTAATCCTGGGCAGGATAATCGGTTATCCGTGGCTACATCGTTTTCGGTACGAACTACGGCGACATCGTAGTTCGTGCTAGTTTGCATTTTAATCGGCCGTGCTATCGCCGACCTTGAATTTTAGCGAGTATAATTTACGATCGAGCGCGATAATGGGCGTGGAACCGTCACCGTCGATTGTTCTTTCTTTCGGCGAGGTAGAATAATTTCGAAATTGGGGATTATGGATCCTCGAGAGAGAGACGACACGCCTTCGCGAGAGAAGTGTCTCGCTTCGCTGGGCCGCGCGTCTCGCACGCACACATTCGGCGCAGCTCTCTCGCCACTTACATAAATATTTTCCTCCCCGAAGTGTGCGCGCATGCACGTGGAGTGAATGCGCGCGACAGTTGTGCAAGAGTCATTAGCGAATTCCTACTTCCAGTGTCGTCGTTAGCGAATTCCTATTTTCAGAGGCCCGCCGGAGGAAAGAAGGCGCGCACGAGGCAGGTGTAACACTATTGCCACGCGGCCTCAAACTACCATGTCTCCTCCGGTTAATGCATACTTTATTTACCGGTTGCGTAACCCGCATCGTAAAGATCCGCGAGCCCATGCATTATTGAAAGAGGGAAGAGAGACGAGCGGAGACCGACATTGTACCTCTCTTATGTTAATAAGACGAATACTCTTCTTTCTATTCGGAATGCAAAAGGTTTCTAGACGGAGAATCCGGCATCCTCCGGCGAGATCGGCCAATCCGAAGCGCGAGCGACGAAACGCAGCTTTACGATCCGAAGGTTCAGGAGGTCTGCAATTCCGGCTCACACACACACACACACACACACACGCCAGGTAAAGATATTTTCGTGCCTCTCGCGCGAGATATCCGAAGCCAAATCTAAAAGAATCGTTGAATTTGCGTCTACGTTAGCGCGGACAAACGCACGCATCAGTTCCTCCGACGACGATGCGATATATGATTTACTAAAAATAAATCAGCAGGAATTTATCGACCGCCACCACCACCATCACCACGTCGTCGTCGTGAGCGTCGCGGGCGCACGTTTGTGCACACGACGGCGAATGCGAGTACGTGAGAACGCTGCATAAAACGTGCCCGTCTAATTCACGTTGTTCGCAGTCATCATCATCGCGCTGATCGAGTCGAGACATTGCGTCAGGGATGACATTGATGGTCGTCACA